CTCGTCCCGCCTACCCGGACACAGTGGGCAGGCGCAGAGCTTGCGCATGCGCCGCAGACCAGCCGCTGGGGTCTCAGGCCGCTGCCATCTGTTGCGTTGTCGCCCGCGCAAGCGGGAAGATCCGGGTCTCGTGGCTCAGTGACGTGGTCAGTCGAACCAAAACAAGGGGGAGGAAGCCGGTGGCCAGGAGCAGCAGCGGCGATCCAAGCACCTGCAGCTTTCCGGAAGCTCCAGGCGGTTTTTCTGCCGAGCCTTTGTCTCGACCCCTATCCTGTCCGCCCCGTCGGTTGTTGTATGGGCGGGTGAGTGTCTTCCCCTCCTACGGCCGTTTACCGGCCCACCTTGCCCTCACCCCGGTTTTTCCTGGGGCTCCTCAGGCTCTCGGGGATTGCGGCGGCTGCGGCAGAGCGGGGCTGCTCTTTGGGTTCGGCGGTTACCCGGTTGGGCTGTCTGGCGACTGCACGGGGGGAAGCCTGCTGCTGCCTGGCCTACTTCCTCCGGCGAAGAGCGAGGTAGAGAGCCTGCAATTGGGCTTTCTCTGCAGGAAACCAGAGTCGGGGCTTGGCAGGAAAGTGGACAGTAGCCCGGGGTAGTTCTATTTTTAGGGTAAGACAGTTAACACGGGTGGAGGCTATAATGGAGTAAAAAAGAAGAAACAGTCGTAGCTGGAAGGAGAAACCCACAAATCCTGAAATCCACACTCTGTCATTTACCTCTGTCCGTCAGCTCTTGCCAGGTTTGATGAAGTTGCTAGGATGCGTCCTTTGTGATTGACAAGAAAGGAAAGTTGCCATCCAGAAAGCGGGAGCTTTTTATCTTTTATTATGCTGCGAATTTAGAGAATTCCCTTTTTTTCTATTTGTTGAGCAAGTTGAACTGACAGTAAAGAGGAAGCACCCTTTATTGGAACAGGAAACGTGCGATAAACTGGTTACCAGAGTTCCTGAAGTCCCATGCTACCGTTTAAAGCCAAAGTTTTCCAAACTAGCTGTTTCTATGTGTGTTAGGATTTTAGCCAAGATGACGTTTGTTAGCTGTAGAGAGTCAATAGGATATTTTCAGTTGTCCTACTTTGCAAAATCGAAGATGGGGCCTTAATGCAAAAATGTCTTGGATTTGCGTCAAGTGTGTTGGATGAACCCTAAGCACGTACGTAATACCAGTGTTTATTGAAGAGAGACTTTTGTTTTTGTATGTTGTCGGAAATCGTTGGCAGCTCTGCCTATAGTAACTTGAGACCATGTAGACCTACCTTTCAGGTGTTTTAGTCTTGAGACCGTTGGGAAGCATTCTCGCTGCCCAGTTCTGTGGAGGTTGCCCAAAGCTTCTGTCCCTTCTGCCTCAAGTGACAGGCGATAGCCCGTTCTGAGGCCTGCTACGCTTTGCGTCCCTCGAAGGCACTAAGGAAATCTGAAGACCCAACCTCCTTTTTGTCCTAACTTGGTTTTTAAAAAGAACATTTTTTTTCCCCCAGAGAATTCATTTATTGAGGTGTTTCTTTGGTAAGCGGCAAGAAAGAAAAACAGAAGTATGTGCTAATTGATTGTTCTTTATCAAATCCAGTTCTTATGAATTTAGACTACCCCCTTGAAAGTTTTGTTCTTGTGTGGAACATGTTTCTTCTTTGTGGGCAGTTGAGCTTTTTTTTCTTAATCCCACAGTTGGAGTCCTACCGATTTAGACAAATGAAATTGTATTCTTCAAGTTCTTTTTTTATTTTTTTTTACCTTTTATGCTAATCTATAACTGAATATTTTTGTTTATACAAAATAATTTGTGATATTTGGGGGGAAATGTTGATTAAAGCAGATAAGCAAAAAGGAAGAACATAAATCAATATTCTTGCCATTCAGAGATCACCAAAGTGTTAGCAGCAGTTTATATCCTTCCAGACTTCTTTTTGCATTTATGGATTTTTATACAAAAATGGCATCATACTACATATGCTTTTCTGTAACCTGTTTTTTCAGATATGGACTTTTGGACCTTAACTTTAAGGGAATACTTTTTGCCAATCAATAAAAATTGTGGTTTTAAACAATTTCCTCCCAAATAGCTATGATGATATTATAATATTTAAGAAATTAATATTCATTGCATGGCAAAGTAAAGCTTCACTTATTTAACTCTTGGGAGAGCAGACACAGAATAGACTGAATTGACAACATGGAAGTTAAAAAAGTTTTTGCTAATTTTAGTGATTCGATTTAGGTAGAGGTTTAGTTCTATTCCATAGCTACATTATGCTCCCAATGCTGACCAGCTGTCCAGGCCTGCAGCAGTAAGGTCCTGAAAGATTTTACTTTATGAATCACACTCAATATGCTACATTAACATTGGGTCTTGGATGTTTGCCTCTATAGGCCAGTGCTTTATGGCTGATGCCAAAAGAGAAGGAAACGTCCCCTTCACCTCAACTTCAAAGAATGAGTACACTACAAAGTATCCTAAATGTGTTCATAACCCATTTGGGTTTTTGTTAATCACAGACTTACCTAAAACCTTTAAATCTCGATTTTCATCCTGTATCTCTTGGGTAATTAGTCCCAGGTGTTTACTACTCATTATGTGACTTAGTTCTTTTTCTTGATTTGCTTTAAATTATAATGTTCAATATATATTCTAGATTTGTCCACTTCTTACCGTCTCTACTGCTACCACCTTTGCCAACTATTACCATCTCTTACGTGGGTATTCCTCTTAAATGTATTGTCTGTTTTAGAGCAATTCTTTCTATGGAAGAATGCTAGTTTTCAGCTTCTTTTTATAGGACAATGCCTTGATTCTCTTACTTCAATAATTCTTGATGTTTGGGCCACATTTTACTTTAGACCTGTAGAATTAATCCTTAGGAGGAATGGGTCCCAGGAATCTGCATTTTCAGCAAGTTCTTTAGGTGATTTTAATGCACATCGGAGTTTAAGGATGTCTTAATATTTGAATGACTTTTCTCTGGGAGATTGCTTCTTTATATTGGTAATGATAGCTACTGTTTTGGGGAACACTGTATGTGTCAGGTACTGAACTAAAAAGTTTTTACATGTTTTTCATTTAACTGTAGAGCAACTCACATGTAGGTATTCCTACTCCCATTGTACAAAGGAAAGAACTGAGACAAAGTAAATGACAGAAAGTTGGACTTGAACCTATCTGTTTTCTTAATCACTATACCCTGTTGCCTCTAAAGTACAATACTTTGGTTTTGGTAGGCCATGGTTTTTGTTAAGGGCAAAGTAGTATTTTCTCTTCATTTCTAATCCTATCCTTAACGAAGTCCATTGTTTTGTTGGTCTTTTTACCTGAAGTTGCATGACTGGGAGATGACCTCAAGAAACAAACTCTTAGGTCTTTTCGCTTTGTTGTATTGAGTGCTCAGTTTACCAGGCTTAAAGTAAATTTGGAGTATTTCCTCCTTCCTGTGCATTACTTTGCATTCCACGCACCAAAAACCCATCTAACACTTTCTGCGTGCTTGTACAGTCATTTGGATTTTTCCCACATTTTCTCTATTGATTTGGGTGTTTTACTATTTGAACTACCGTTGGATCATTCATAAACTGAATAAATTTCTCACTACAAGATCCCTTTCCAAATGAGTAGGAAAAAAATGTTAAATTTGATGCATTGATTTTTTTTTTTTTGTAGAGGGACTTAACCCAGAGAAATACAGGTTGTCTTTATTTTCTTTCTACAGAGTCTTTAAACCTAACTATTTGTCTATAGAGGTACAGGTCGCATATGACCTTTACCAGAGTTCTATCTTAACCCACCTTGGGCTTATGTAAATAGCTGTGTGTGACATCATTTTACCTTCCATATTTAATTGTCTGTGGCTATCTACTTTTTTCGATTGTGGGGGTGCCATGAGGTCAGGGATTACCAATGAAGCAATCAGTAGGCTTGTTGATAGAATAAATAAAAGAAGAAAAATCCCAACTTTATTCTGTACTTGTAAAAAACAGTACATTGCTGAAAGGAATTATATATAATAATCTTTTCCCACATAATTAATAAGACTTCGAACAAAAATCTCAATACAAGACAATAAATTGTGTAAATTGGTGATGACAAATAGCGATATATTTGTATATGGGTTATGAAGATTTTGCAGAAAAGTAAGTGCTCCTGACTCTTTATTACGCTGTAATTTATATTAGGATTTTTTAAGATTGTATAACTTCTTAGGCAATTAATACTACAGGCTTATAAGTAAAAGTATTCTTTTGGTATGTGTTTATATGCATATTCATGTTCTGGCTCACAGAACATGTACTGACCATATGAATGAATGGTTGTTTCTATAGTTGGGCACATATCAGTAGAAACTGCAGTTAGGTAAAGAACAGTTTAAGCACTTTCAAAGCCATTTTGAAAGAAGGCTGAAAATAATTTGATTCTGAAATTAACAATTATCTGCTTGAATATCAATAATGCATTTACTACTTATGTTTAGCTGACACATCTGCGCTCCAACTGAGATATTGTTATGCCTAATTTACATTGGAGGAAACAGGCTCTGGTTAGTTAGGTAAGTTGCTCAAGGTAAAGCCACTAGTACTGTTGGGATTCAAACCCAATTGTTCCAAAGCTCATGTACTTTATACTACAACAATGTTGACTAGTCTTTTTGTCTTACAGAATCACGAGAGTTATATTAAGTAAACCTACTTGTTTTAGCTGTTAGAATATGCTGGTAGAACTATCTTCGTGAATTGTTTTGTTCTATTTAAACTTGAATTGGATATGTATTTCTAATAGCATCCCCCCCTTTTACATACAAGACATCCTTGTAGCAAAGCTGCAAAGGATAGTAACATACAGAGCAAACAACAACAATAAAATATAATCCACTCATTCAGAAGTTATCTCTGTGCTTGTATTTCCTTCTGGTCTTTTTTTTTTTTAATTCATCTTTGGTTTAAGTGAGATGTAATACCCACATAAACTTGTATCCTAATTTTTTTGTTTGTTTAACTTAACGAGCTTTTTACTGTGGCCTTAGAAACTTTCTAAACTTGATTTTAACATTTAATAAGATTTTGAATAAGCTGATTTAATTTTGGACATGAATGTAGTTTCCTGTTTTTACTGTTATAAATATTGTGATGAACTATGGCTTTAAATAGTTAACCCAAGCTCTGAAGATTAGAACAACCTGTTTAATTAAAAAACAAGTCATATTTAAGACATTTTAATTATTTGAAATGTAGTGATTTTAATCATAATTCAACAAATATATATAGCATACATATACCTGCAATGCCTAGAAAATTTACATTTAGGTTTTTAATAGAGGTTGCCT